GGAGGTGAGTGGGGGGGGGGGGGGGGGGGAGTTGACTGCACCACGGCTGGTTGCTGGCATTCTAGGTACCTGGCTGTAGAATGCTTCATCATCCAGTATGACAAGCCACTCTATTTTTAGTTCTGTACAACACTGGTTTCATGAAGTCATGGAGAAATACCATGTGCACAGTGGAGGCACTGCATGCATACTTCAGTCACTTGTAGGGTGCAGGATCGCCCCACATTTGCATTTGTGCCATAACAGCACAGATTATTCAGGGACCAAAAAAAAAAAAGCTTAGGCCCTTTTCTGCCCTCTTTAACCCTTCTATCCTAGCCCCCAGCAGCAAGCATGCCTGCTTTGCACATCTAGAAGAGAAGGCCCAAAAGGCCAGTCTCAGCCAGAGGCAAGTACTACCAACTGAACTGCTAAAGTGGACCTAAAGTGGTGTAGTAATCTTCATAGGTCAGTAGATTTTAACAGGGTGTATGTCCTTTTGAAAGGTCAGATATGTTTTAAACATTTCATTGCACCTCATCTTCAGGTGTTGATGTGCTTTTTCTTTGACCTGCCTACAGTATTATGTACTGTTTCTGGCATAGTAAGGTGGTGTCCTAATGTCCGAAGTTTGAAAATGCCTTAAATAAGAAAGTAGTCACTGCTCTGAGCTGCTGGGTTTTTTGCAAAACTTTAATAACAAGCCAGTTGAAACCTTTTTAATGGCATAAATTGGAATGATACTTTACAGACTGAACAGAATTGAATGCAAGAGCTTAGTCTAAATTATAGAAGATCAAGGTCAGAATGGAAGACAGGTCACACTAAGTGGGTTATGGGCAGAGCGCTAGTAAGGGTAAACTAGGAAAGAATCCCAAGAACAGAATTGTTGAAAGGATAAACAGCAGTGCAGAAGAATGATGTTTCCATAGGTGGGCTTCAGTGCCTATGAACCAGATGAGTTTGTGCAAGATGTCCACCCAGTTAGAATAATCGCTAGCTGCAAGTTGTACAGATGAGTAAGTTTCCTTCCTTTTCATGCCTGTTGAAAGAACAGGTGTGCAATAGCTCTGTATTCTGTACTGTGACTTTCTATTTTGTCTTTACAGTTACAGAATCAACATGAGGTATAACGTGATTTGATCTACATCAGAAGAGTGGCAAGTACTAGTCTCCGTCTTCTGTGTTAGAGGAAGTGGTTACACAAATGATCTGTAATTCTTAAAGCCATTACCCCACATTCCAGTGCTTGTTTACCCATTTCCCTTACATAGTAATTAAACATTGAAACCTTTAGCAGCAGGGAGAAAATGCCAAGTATACTGAAAGGTGAGGGAGGGTACAAAAGCAGTTACTATCACTGCTGACACGCATAAAGCTAGAACAGTTTTAAGACAAGCTTTAAAATCAGTACTAACACAAAATTTTGTGTTTTATACTTTACTGTCTTTTCAACAGTTGTAATAAATTCTGCTATTCCAGGTCTAACTTGTTTACCTTTTCTCCTACTGCATTGCATTCTCAGAACTTGAATATATTTTTAAACCTACTTCTCAGGTAGACAGATGAGGTGAATGCAATTATTTCTCTACACATTTGGACAAATTCAGGGCTTAAAGTTATGCTTAGTCTATTTCCTGTAGAAGTCACAAGAACATCAGTATACATTCCACAGCAATCTTCATTCTAAAGGTCTGTACACAATAGTGTTATAGCAATATGACAAACAAATCCCTTATTAATGCCATAAATGTCAGAGAAAATCAGGAGAGCTTGCATAAATATCAGTATGGTTGCCTAACACTTTCTGCAATTCACTTGTTTAGTTTTTCCTGGTACTTTAAGAGAAATGCAAGTTTTTGTGATAGGAGCTTCCTGGCTTTTGCACTGACTGATACCACCACTCTTCCAAACTAACTATCCTGCTTCTGTAACAGGAATATATTTGGGTTTCCCCCTCAGTACTCAGAGTGAAATGTTAAGCTGTTTTTCTTGTGGAAGAAGAGCTAGAAACTTAAAGTGTTTTTTTTAGCACAGATGTTTCTACTGACAGAATTTCCAAATGCTGCCTACATTAGCCTTTAAGAAGATACGTAACCATCTTGCTGCTATGAGATGTTTACATGTTGTCTCAAGTTGCTCAAATTGGTGTTAACATTTAAAAATAAAGTATATGGTCTTGTTCACTCAACACACATTGCACTTGGAAGTAAATCCTATATTCAGAAAAAGGTGACTTGTCTGGCACATTAGCAGCTTAACATAATAAATATGAAAGATCTGTGATATTAGAGCACAGTAATGAAAACAAGTCAGTGCTCAGTTAGGAAGCCATCTGTGCTCAAAATGTATATGCTTTGTACTAGTGTGTTGCTAAACAATGAAATTCCCTAAACAAGATTTTATAAGCAGCAAGCTATGATCTCTGCAATTTGTATCTGCTTTTATTTAAGAAAAATGCAAAATGTATATTCAAGTTAACTTTTATTCATTCCATTTAGCCTGGGTGAAGCTTACTTTGTAGCCAGAAAACGGAGCACAAGTTCCCTCTAATTTCATTGATGCAGATCACTTTACTGCTAGTTGCTGTTATCTAGCTGTAGCTACTTGAGTAGCTGACATTAAAGACAGTAAGAGATACCTAAGTAAAACTATATCTTTAAAAAAACCCAACCAACCCAATTATAAAGCTACACT